GGGCATTGTGGCAGGTGGCTGTGGTCCCAGCTACTTGGGAGGCTGAGGCAGGAGACTCGCTTGAGCCCAGGAGTTGGAGGTTGCTGTGAGCTGTGATGCCACGGCACTCTACTCAGGGGGATAGCTTGAGGCTCTGTCTCAAAAACAAAAAACAAAAAACATATCTTTTCAAGAAACATTCCAATAGTCATGGAATAAAAGTAGTTCAAAGCTGGTAGTTCATAGGCTTTCCAGATAGGGAAAAATCCAACTCATCTTCTGTCCCATTTCCAGTTCTATCCCATGTTGTATTGTTACCCTGGCCTAAATTAAACACCTTTGCTCAAGCGAGTCATTGACAGTTAGGGTCTCTTTAGATGAGCGGTGACCCAGGGGTCCGCAGTAGAGCTAGGTCTGGGTTGGAACCCTTTTCACTATTTGTGGTTTGATGATATTATCTCTGAAAGACATAAATCTGATTAGTACGTTAAAAGGCAAGGTTAGAGGATGGCACCTGTGGCTCAAAGGGGTAGGGTGCCAGCTCCATATGCCGGAGGTGGTGGGTTCAAACCCAGCCCTGGCCAAAAACTGTAAAATAATAAAATTAAATTAAATTAAATTTTTATTTTAAAAGGCAAGGTTAGACCAGTCAGAGGAGGGGTTTTTTCAAGATGCTCACAGTTTAGTAGGGTGTAATTTCATGAACTGGATGAAGAGAGGAGGGGGTTGATTTTGAGAGAAAACTGTATGAACACTTTTCTTGCTGTCTTCTAAATAACAATTTCAAATTTTCTTTAGGCTTATAAGTGTAGATGGACTGTAGTTGATTCTCTTCTTTGTCTGCTTCCATAGGAGGTGGGGGGTTTCAGGATTTTCCTCGTGAAAGATGTATCCAGGAATCTATTCCCATAACTTTAACAGCTGTAGAAGAAGACAAGATAGCAGAAAAGAGACCTTCCCAAGTTGGGGTTAGGGAAGGTGAATTAGAGGGAAGAGTCACAAGTCCTTGATATCTGTTTTTTGATTCTCATTTCAGAGTGATTAGGCACTCATTTCTTGAATATCTTTAATTAAAAAATAAAATGGTTTTAGCCATTTTACTATATCCAGGAATCCAGAGTCTATAAAAGCCTATAATTCCTAAGAAGCCTCGAAGCAGTTTGAGAGTTTGAGGTTTATGGTGAACCAATATTGGTCTAACTCTTTCTTTGCCCAAGGCTCTCTTCCTCTGTGAAAGCTGGAGACTCAGATAGTGAACTTCAGGTACACATAATTGGGCTTTCGCCTTGGAATCTTTGTACCACAATCAGCTAGAAAGTTTAATAGAGCTTGGGTAGTTTTATGGAGTCCCTCTGCACCTGGCCCTCCTAAAAGAATGTTATCCACATACTGAATAAGAGTTGTCGTAGAATATGAAAAACGACTCGAGTCTTTGGCTAAGGCTGTCCCTATATTCCTGGGGTAACCTAGTTCGTGTGAGCTAGTTAGAGTTAGTGGGGTTTTTTAAAGGAAAAAGGTATTGGGAATTTTCATGAAGCAGAATGCAAAAGAAGGCATCTTTTTAGTCTAGAGAGTGAAATTCCAGTCTCAGTAGCACGAGAAATTGTTACTCATAAGTCAGGTTGTTTTATATATTCCTTATACTCCCTTGAATTTCCTTCTTCGATACTGAGTAAAGTTCCAAGCTCTCTTAACTGTGCTAAGCTGAACTTTGAAGGCAAAGGTTTTTGTCCATTCTTGGGCTTAAAGATATGGGTATTATCAGCAACTACTGAGGGCAGTGTGAGGGTAAAAACAGTAATCCAAGTCAAAGAATCCTCCAAAAGAAGGTAAAATTCAAGGGACAAGGAAGACTGTGGAATCTCGTGATTCTTCCCCATCTGAAAATTCTTCTCAATACTAAATCTTGGAAGTAATGACAATATTTTTCTAAAATTTCACCCAACTAAATTGTAAGCATCTTGAAAAGACCTTATCATTTTCATCGTCGTCGTGTACACAGGTAACCTAGAACATAGTAAGAACTCAAATATTGTTAACAAAATAAATGAAGTACTGCAAAGACTTCCATTTTTAGAGTTTAAGGCACTCTAAACGCCACCCAGTCCCATACTTTTCCTGTGAATCCACATTTATCCACATAGGCTTCATAAGTCATCATATAATTCATTCCACAAATATCAACTAAATGTCTACAATAGTTAAGACTTGTTTTACAAGCAGCAAAAGAATATCAGTCACTAATAAAACAAATGTCTTTGAGGGCCTACTACGTGCCAGACACTGTCAGGCCCTAAAGATAATACAATGACTAAGACACACAAAGCTCCAGAGGGAGATCACAGAAGAGAAGGGAGAAGGGACATGAAGTACATGAATACTGTACAGAACTATTTAAAATGGAAAATGTTACAGAGAAGTCAAAAACAGAAACAAGAGATTCTTAACAACTTATAGAACGTTGCCATTCAGGTATGAGACATTATTTGTGGCTTCACTTTAGAGTTCAGGAATAAAGATTTCTAGTTTCTCGACAAAGCAGTTAATGGTCATGGGTTTATAGATTTTGATGAAAATCAATAGTCTTTTTTCATGTCTTTAGCATTGCATCAAGTGACATCAACATTGGATTTTGAAAAGAACACAGATCAATTCTCTTAATGAAAATAATAACTGAAACTGAGCTCTAAATATCAAAGTTATTTTCATGTTTGAGTATATGACCCAAGGAAGCACAGAACTGTCAACTTGAATAATAACAAAATGTATATAAATAATAATCCTGAATTTATGTGGGGCTCTATTCATCTAACAGGGGCTCTATTCATCTAACAGTAACTCTATGATAAATAATTTCTATTATTTACCTTGTAAACTCGGAAAGTAAAATTTAAGCTAAAATATACCTAAACATTCCATTTCTTTTGTCTTGTAACTAAATGAAATTTATTCTCTAGTTTCTTTCATATGTACATTAGATTCTCCAAATACTTTGAAATACACCCCAATAAAGCTGCTTCCCTTGAGACAAATACAGTACAATGGGATCAGAAGTTCCAAAACTAATATTAAAGGAGCTTGGGTTTCACTACCTTTATCTCTTACCAGATTCAATAAATTTATTTATGAATTGTCTACAACCATTAGGAATTGATCAGTCCATCTCTGGTAGTTACAGCCTGGGAAAACTCATTTACTAATATATGTTATGGGACATAGTCCATAAAATTTTTTTTATTATTATTTAATTTATTTTTAGAGAAAGAGTCTCACTATGTCATCCTTGGTAGATGGAATGCCATGTCGTCACAGCTCACAGCAATCTCCAACTCCTGGGCTTAGGCGATTCTCTTGTCTCAGCCTCCCCAATAGCTGGAACTACAGGCGCCCGCCTCAACGCCCAGTTATTTTTTGTTGCAATTTGGCCGGAGCCGGGTTGGAACTGGCCACCCTCCGGTATATGATGGGGCTGGCGCCCTACCCACTGAACCACAGGGGCCGCCCCATAAAAAATTTTATATTCAGGAATTTCTAGGTCCCAAAACAGCCTTCTTTAATAGGATTTTGCCTCTGTGAAAAAACTAAACTCTCTCCAAAGGCTTCACTGTGAATTTCAAAAGGGCTCTTATATCCATGTATTCCATTCCGGCCACGAGTTTCTGTTCATTGCAGACGACATATCATTGGTGTATGTTTACAATGTTTTCCACTGGATCTGCATAAGAAATTAACCAGGTGCCCTTTGTACTGAGCATGATGTAGACAGGAACATGTCACTAAAATACGCATCCTAATTCTGCTAAAGAACTTAAGATACGAACAAACCTATTAAGAAAAATTTTTGAAGCCACACTATATGCAAAGTGCTGAAATGACATAAAGACAGTCACGAACACGCTGATGCTTTACCTCTGCAGTTTTAGGGGTCACTAAGGAAGATTAATACTCTTTACCTCCTCGTGATTTCAATGTGTATTAAAAAAAAAACCTAACAACTTGGGCGGCGCCTGTGGCCCCACCGTCCCCATACGCTGGAGGTGGCGGGTTCCAACCCAGTCCTAGCCAAAAACTGAAGAAAAAAAAAAAACCTAACAACTATAAAAGCACTGCGTGCTACTACAGTGTTACATTTTTTAGCACCCTTACAGATACTACCAAGTAACAATTTCTGATAAATTACTATAAGTACTACTATAGTTGAGCAACTTCTCTCTAAAATTTAGCCGCTTTAGCCTTATTTATGCAGATTCAATTTAAAGCAAAAACGCAAAAATAAAGAATATTGAAGGCAGAACAACTAGCTGCACTTCTCCAAATTAAGTAAAATTGAGCAAAAGAAAGGAAGCAAGCGAAGGGAAGGAACTCACAAGCTATTTGCAGCAGGGATCCGTTGCAAGTTCTCCCCGCTTCCCCTTAAGCTCAAAGAGTTAAGCAGAAAGAGAGGAAAGTAAAGAAGACACTACACAGAAGACTAAAGTTACTCTTTCACAACTTGCTTATTCACTGAATTCAGTGTAAGATGTCTGTAACATCTGGATTAGTTAGGAAGGTCTGGGGGGAAAGAGTGGCATTTGCTTTCTTAGTTCGGAATCCTAAGAACTGTACCCGAGAGTACCTAAAAACCCTCAGTTATCTTGGAGAAGCAGCTCGGAGCATCCTTCCCAAGCACACACACATCTACAGGGCCAGGGGGCTCCTCCCTCTTTCCCTAGCGTCCTCAGGGACGCACCAAGGTCCGGTGTCCAGCGCACCGTTAGCCTAAGGGCCATCCGGACTCCCGCAGGCGCCACCCAGCCGGTACGAGGCCGTAGCGCACACCGCAGTCCCGGCTCGGCTTCCCGAAGACACGCTGCGGCGGCGGCGGCACGCAGCAGGATACCCTCACTAGCCGGTGAGCATTGTAATAAAACTTAGGGGAGCGCGTCTGCACTCTCGCGTACAAGAGGCACAGTCCTGACGCGGGCTCGGAGACCCTCGGCGCGTCCCGCCCCTCCTCGCGGCCGAGGGGCAGCAGTCCGTACCTGTCCTCCGAGACGCTGATGACGCCCTCCTCCTTGGGCACGATCACGGCCATATTCACCACTTCCTGGGACCCCTCGACCCGCTGCAACAGGATCGGTTTGCGGGTCAGAGGTTTGGGCTGGATCTCCGCCGCCATCGGAGGAGGGGGCGCGCCGCGAGCGCCGCCGCCAAACGCGCCGCGGGGCTGGGCTGGGGTACAGGCACAGGCTGAGACGGAGACTCTGGCTGGCCCGAGCGGGACGCCAGCAACCAGCGATCATAGCCTGGCCGCCTCTCGCGGGAACAACCCTGCGCTCACCGCTTGGGCACCAAACCCACCACCACCGCCGCAGCAAGCCGGCGCCACTACCAGAGGAGGGGGCGGAGAGCTGGGAGGCGGGGCCTTTGGGGCGGGGCCTGCCGCAGGGATGACCGCTGGTGGGCGCGAGGGCGGCTCCACTTCCGGGAGTACAGGCGCGAGAAGGGGAAACCTAAAGTGGGAGGCTGGCGGGAGCGGCCCAACGCGCGTGCGTCAGCCCACTAGTCCAGGATCCCGGCCCCTTCCCAATGCCTGAAGCCAGGCAGCACCCCTAGGACGCATGCGCTTTCCGTTCCCCGCGGTCTTCTAAGCTCTCTACCTTCCACACCCACTATTCAGGCTCCTCCTCTAATCTCCCGTCCACGCGCGGGCACACGCTCCAGGGAACGCGCCTGCCGGAAGCCCCGCCCCCTCCAATCCCTGAAAAGGGGGCGGAGGTGGGGCGGGGAAAAGAAGGTCCCACAACACCGGAAAGAGATGAGGTCTGCAGAAGTAAAAGGGCCCAACTAGTTGGGACGAGACTAGGCATGCGCACGGGCTACCAGCCTTAGCTAATCTTAACAATAAAGTGCGCCAGTGACTGCTCCCGACATGCACCGCGCCGTGGCGTCGGTGCCACCTAGTGGCCTCCTGGGAGTTGTAGTTTTTTGGAGCCTCCGCCCCTGTGTCCTGGAATAACCTATCGTCCCTTTCTTTGAGCTCGGGATCTGGGGAGCTCGGAGGCTTCCTGACGTCCGCGTTAGGGCCCGAACTGCTCTAAAGTAGAGAACCGAGGAGGAGTCCTGAGCTGAGCAGAACATATCCCATTCCTGGGTCAAGCCACTGCCCAGAATAGTGGCGCGTCAGATACAGGGAAAGAACAGAGTCTCATACAGAGATCTTTTAGGGAATGGAAGATAATCTGTAGCATCAGACTACTCATTTTCTTGGACAGCTAAATTACTAGCACAAGATTCCTTCAGCGCCAAGTTAGGGTTAAATACCTCCACCTCCGCAAGACTTGAACTCAGGCCCTGCCTGCTCCTAGTCCTACTTCTTTCCCCAGAGATGGTGGACAGTTACTGTGCCCACTGAATGAATGTTAGGTGTCTGGCACAAGGCCTGGTACGTGGCGTGGTCATTTTTTGATAACCCCCATTGAGTGCTCCCAGAGTTAAGTCAATTGAGGAGCAGTCATGATCTGCCTGGTGTGATTGGGCTGGCAGGATTCTGGAAGGCAGAAAAATGAGACTTTAGAGCTGGGCAATGAGGAGGTCAGGCCTTGTGGAAAAGCATTTCTAAAGTAGATTTTTGGCAGCCAAGGTAGTAAGGTGTAAAGAACCTATCTCAAAGTACACGAGGCAACTATTTACCACCTCCTATCTTTGCAGATATCTTGTAAGAGTCTTGAAATAGGGATTCAGATATTTTTCCAGCCTTGGGAGCTAAGGCAAGCATTTGCTTTCTCTGACTTTCGATTTTCTCATCTATTAACTGGGTGGTTGCTGTGAAGCTTGCAAATGACCCTTTAAGTGCCTTCACATGCAAAGAGTCTATTAACTACTGCTGGCAATTACACCTTCCCTCAGGGGGACATCTTTTTATCCCCTTAAGGTTATGAAGGAGGTGGCAGCTGGCTGCCCTCATCCCAGGCTTTATGGGAATAAGAGCCTGAGTGGGGTTACAACAACTCTGAGTCTGATCCTCATTCTAAGGAGCCAGAGTATCTATCTCATCATTCACTCAAGAGATACTTGATAACTACTCAGTGGTAGTCAGTAGGAACACAGATTTGAATGTGGACTTCTCAGTTCACAAGTATCTCACAGATCACTCACTAGAAACAGAGAACAGACCATGACAGGGCAGTGATGATGCCAAGAGACTTGGGTAACATAGGGAAGTACCCAACCTGACTTGTGGTAGAGAGGGTTATGCAGAAATATCTGCCCAAAGGAGGTATAGTCTAAACAGAGCTTTGAGGGGTGAGCAGGAGCAATCTACTTACATAGATTCAAAGAGTATAGGAGTGAGGGGGGTGAGTGAAGTGGCTGGGAGCGGGCATGGTGGTTAGAGAAGGGAAGTGAACGAAATTCAATACAACTGAAGCAGCTTGGTGAGGCTCACAGCAGAGAGAGGTGAAGATGAAGACATTACAAGACCTGAGTATGGACCAGGGCCTGATGCACCTTGTTCTCAGTAGGAAGGTTACATTCTGGCACCCTCACATCATCCTCAGATTAGACAGGCACTCAGGAAGCCATCAATTACAGAACAACGTGGCAGCTGTCATAATGGAGGTACCATGAAGTGCAGTGAGAACCAGAGACCCTGACCTGTGTCTGGACAGTAAGTCAGGGAAAGTTTTCTGCAGCAGGAAGAACTCATCTAGAGTTTGGGAGTGGTAGGTCCAGACAGAGGAAATAGCATGTGTGAGAGGCGACCTTTGTTAAAAGGATTTGTTCTATAAAATTTGGATTCTGGGAAAGCCTGCACTCAAGGATCCAGAAAGCCACATGTGATTTCTTGGAGCTTCTGCCCCCCTACCCCTTTCCTGTGCTTCAGACCTGGAGAGGTTGGCAGCCTCCTGGCTATGGGCCGACTCATCACCCAAACTTTCTAATTAAAGTATGAATAGAGATAAGATACTTACTAGAGACATACAGTTGTGAATCTGCTGTGAGACCAATCAGCATGAGTGTGCAGTTTTCTCTTGCAGAGGTCAATGCAGGTGTAAAGTAAGTGAAACGTTGAAGTGGTCAGAATTGGTGGTTTCCTGCCAATTATGAGAGAGAGTTAAGGATGCTAAGGGTATTTGAAAGAGATTGTTATAATTATGGATTATGGGAGTTAAGCAGTAAAAGGAGGGAAGAAAGAACATGAAGGAGACAGTGGATAATAATATAATTGCAAACCCTGCATGGGGGTCACTGGGTGCTAGGCATTTTTTTTAGCTTATTACTTATAATACCGTGTAATCTTTTTTTTTTTTTGAGACAGAGTCTCACTATGTTGCCCTCGGTAGAGTACTGTGGCATCACAGCTCACAGCAACCTCTAACTCTTGGGCTTAAGCTAGTCTCTTGTCTCAGCTTCCCAAGTAGCTGGGACTATAGGTGCCCACCACAATGCCCAGCTGTTTCTTGTTGTTATTGTCATTGTTGTTTAGCAGGCCTGGGTCTGGTTCGAACCCGCCAGCCTCGGTGTATGTGGTCAGCGCCCTAACTACTGAGCTACAGACACCAAGCCAATACCATGTAATCTTATGACTACATTGGATAGTGGAAAATGTTATGGTCAGTGGTGAGGTCTGTAGGGTCAAATAATTGGGGTGGGGAACTTCTGAATAAATGAACCTGGGGTAGGGAGACAGACTTGGTTGAATCTAGCCTCTGTCACCTGTTATAACTTGTGACCTTAGGAAAGATACCTTCCTTCTGTTTCTGTGGCATAAGCCAATAGCAACCTTTCCCTTTCTTTCTTTAGCTAGTTGTGTTTTTGTTACCTTCAACCAAAGGTCCTGACATTACAATTGTAACCATGCACTCATGAGGATAGAGTGCTGCAGTACACAGCCCACAGTAAGTGTTCTACAATTACTATCTCTTATCTCTTTCCCCTTCCGATAATGATCCCCAAGGGCAGCAGATGTCTGTGTATCAGTCTAGAAGCATGACCTTGTGCTGGGTGCAATGCAGATGTGCTCTGAGGATATAACAGTTCTCCATCACAGAAAGATTCAAGTGTTACACACTTAACATGTCATTACCCTCATCTCCTGACCTTCCTTCTCAAACTTTGCCCTTCATGGAGGGGTGGGAACTTCCATTTCTCCATTCTTCTCAGGAAACTACTCAAACAAGTTGTTTGGATACCTAATTTCCATGTCCTCATTTCTCATTCTCTCTCCAACTATCTCCATTGGAACTGTTCTTGACAAGGTCCCACAACCTCTGTCTTGCCAAATACCATGACCAAACATTTCTTCACCCTCATCTTAATCTGCTTCTCAGAAGTATTCAGCACAGCTGACCACTCTTTTTGCTTCCAAACATTTCCTTTGGTTTCTGTCACACCACACGTTCTTAGTTGTCCTCCTAAGACACTGGCATTCCTCATCCTCCTGAACTTCACTCTTCAATTTTGAAATGTTCTAGGATGCCACTTGGGGGCCTCTTCTCTTCTTTATCCACACTCTTTCTAGGTGGTCTCATCTCATTTATGGCTCTATTGGTTTCCTATTGCTGATGTAATAAATTGCCACAGACTTAGTGGCTTAAAATACCACAGAGTTATTCTCTTACATGTCTGTAGGTCAGAAATTGAAAATGGGTCTCACTGGGTTTCAGCAGGACAGATTCCTTATGGAAACTCTGAGGGGAGAATCTGTTTCCTTGCCCTTTTCAGCCCTGAGTGGCCACCTGTATTCTTTGGTCCATAACCCTTTTCTCCATCCTCAAAATACATCATTTCAGTCTCAGCTTCTGTCACCACATCACCTTCTCCAACTCTAACCATCCCCCCCTCCCTTATAAGGACTGTTGTGATTACATGGAGCCCACCCAGACGTTCAAGATGATCTTCCTATCTCAGGATACCTAACTTAATCTTGTTGCCACAACCACCTTTGCCATATTTATAAATTCCAAGGATTGGGATGTAGACATATATGGGGGCTCATTATTCCCTAGGCTACTGTTAGAGTCTGACAACTCGCTAGGAGCTCACAGGGCAGGTATAGAACAATTTCTCACGTAGAGACCGGAATACATAAGGCCAGGTGCAGTGGCTCACACCTGTAATCCTAGCACTCTGGGAGGCCAAGGCAGGTAGATTGTCTGAGCTCAGGAGTTCAAGACCAGCCTGAGCAAGAGCAAGACCCATCTCTACTAAAAATAGAAAAACTAGCCAGGCATTTTGGTGGGCACCCATAGCTCCAGCTACTTGGGAAGCTTAGGGAAGGGGATAGGTTGAGTCCAGGAGTTTGAGGTTATTGTGAACATGATGATGCCAAAGCATTCTACCCAGGGTGACAGAGTTAGACTCTGTCCCCCCTAAAAAAAAAAGAGATTGGAATATATGAAAGCAGAAAGTTTATTTTATCTTCTTAGAGAAGAGAGAGAGAAGGAGGGAGGGAATGAAGGAGAGAGAGGAAAGGGAGCAGGGAAAGAG